GCGCGGGGCGCTGTGCCTCCCTGGCCGGCGTGGCCGGCGGGGATCCGCCCGCCGCAAAGCCCAGATAGGATGGCAGCCCACGCCGCAGGCGGTCGCGCGACGTCTTGCCTTGACCCCGCATCCCTTTTTGACGCATCCCGACCCTCCTGTTTTCTCTGGAAAGCTGGAGTGCCGTGTGCAGTGTTGACGTGTTTGATGGCCTCGCTTGACCTGTTCATATCTTCGACGCTGCGTTACTGGCGCCGCCCATGCCGCCGCCGCAGGTGCTGGGTGGTAGCGGCGCGCTGCCCGTCGCGCCCGCCCCTCCCCCCCTCAGATCACTCTGCGCTGTCATATGCCCCAACGAACCCTCGTCGGGGCCGAGGTGTGCGTGTCTCTTGTTGTTTTGACGTGACAGCAACGGCCGTGCCAGGGTGTAAAAACACCAGGCACGCCCCTGCAGCTCCACTGGCAGTCAGAGAGCGACGCAGGCATTGGGTTTGGACACAATTGGTTGGCAGGGATCACCTGGATTTTGGAACTTGCTATGGTTGTGTGGCGGTGTCACGGATATCGCGGGTTGGGCATTAGTCGGGTGGCTGAGGGCTCTCCGCAGCAGAGGGGGGTGGTTGGGGGCGGAGGGTCAGGCGGACGAGCGAGCTTGACGGCCGACAGGCAGACGCTCGCGGTGCAAGCGGGCAGCTCCTGAGTGCTGCGTTGCGGCCGGCCCCCGGCGCCACGAGCCTGCACCCCGCAGGGTTGGCAGTGGCCTCGGTCGGGCACCCGTCAAAATGCCAGTCATAAAGTCGGTCATCTGACCCGACGACAGGGCCATCTTGTGGGGCGTCGTGCACCTAAATGCAGCGCCGCGGGATTGTTGAACCACGGTCAAACGCCCCGCCGCTGCGGCCGTCGCCCCGCGGGCGGGAGCTCACGCGGGTGAGCACGCGGTGCGCTCCAACTCCCGCGCAACCTGCCCCAGTGCCTCCTTCCCTGGTTGTGTGCCGCCCCTTCATACAAGGGCGCTCCCGTTTCATTATATCATCTACAAACCGCCGTTCGCGCGTTCCAGCCACCCATACATTCGCTCGGCAGAACGCTTGCCGGGATTTCCCGCCCTTGTGGCCGCCCAGCGCTTCTTCAGGGCAGTGCGGTTCTCTCCTATCAGCACCACCATGGCCGCGGCTGCGGCCGAGGTGCCGTGCTGCGTCGACAAGGCTTGCGGGACAGATGACGCCCAGGGCGAACCTCCAGAGTCCGCGTTCGAGTGCAACATCTGCTTGGACCTGGCCAAGGAGCCCGTGGTGACGCTGTGCGGACACCTGTTCTGCTGGCCGTGCCTCTACAGGTGTGCGCGGGGCCGGAACGCCCTCCTCACGAGCCCGCATGCGTGTCGAATTTCTTGTGCGGTATGATGCAGCTTAGGGGAGGTCGTGGTTGATCGGCCACCCCCTCACGCTTACCCTCGACGACCCACATCGGGTGCCGACCCGTTGCAGGTGGATGCAGGTGCAGAGCTACACTCGGGCTTGCCCAGTATGCAAGGCAGGGGTCGAGGTTGACAAGGTGCGAGCCTGCATTCGTCCTCCCTGGCAGCGCCGCTGGGTTCATTCGCCGCTTGCAGCGCTGGCGCTGTTTCCCGCCCTGGGAAGCCGGACGGAAATGCGAACCGACCGCCCGCGTCCCGACCGCAGGTGATCCCCATATACGGCAGGGGCAGCGACTTCGACCCGCGCCAGGCGGAGGCCGTGAAGGTGCAGCCCGTGCCGCCGCGGCCGGCTGGGCAGCGGCCGGCGGCGGTCGCGCCCGGCGCGCCGGCGGGCGGCCAGCAGGGCATGCTTCCTGCGCTATTCGGGTTCCAGCTTGGCCCGGGGCAGGGCTATGTGGAGGCGCTCACGCCGGAGCAGCAACACCAGGTGAGGGGCCCTGGGGCCTCGGCCGCATGGCACGCGGCGCGATTCGGGGGCCAGCGGGCGGGCAACGGCGGCGGCGGTCCGCGCGCCCAAGCCTGCGGCGTGCTCTGCAAGGCGGCCCGGGCGCGGACGTGGGGTGTCTGCGAGCCGCTCGCGGCTGTGGCCGCTGCGCGGCGGGGACGACCGTCAACAGGAGCGGGCACCCTGGCAAAGGGCTGCGGTCGGGCGCGTCGGATTGAGGGCCTTCGCGCGCCGGCGCGGGCGGGGCCGGCGAGACGTGGCCGCCCCGCCGCTGACCTTTGCTGAGCCGCGTGCAGGTGTCCCTGCCCGCCATGCGGCGCGCGTGCCAGCGGCAGGCGCGGCCAACTTTCCATTGGCTTGCCTCCGGCCCTGCACTCACGCATGGTCCCCCAACCCCTCTAAATCGCACCCTTTGCCCTGAGCAGGCGTTCCTGTCGCGGCTCTTGCTAATGCTGGGGTCATTTGTGGTGCGCAGCCGGCGGGGCCGCCGGTGTATGTGGGCTCGGGGCCGCTGGCGCGCGGCTTGATGCGGCGCAGCAGGGCGGCGCAGCCGGGCGGCGCGGCGCGGGTCCCAAGGCGCCTGGCAACGGCTGTGGCCGCCACGGCCGCTGGATTTCGAATCGCGACAGCTGCGGCAGTGCTTGCAGCCGCAGCAGCTGGTGCAGGTGCAGCAGCAGCAGCCGCCGGGGTTGAAAGTGTCCGCATGCCGATAACCCCGAACACACCGCGCCGCTGCGCGCCCCACTTCGCAGATCATGTGCCTCCTGTTGTTCTAAGTACCCGGGGGAACCGGCCCACTTCCTGGTCGCATTGGGACGGTGAGCCTGTCTGCTGTAGCTTTGCTCGTGTAGCTCCCGGGGTGTGCAGCCTGCCATGCCCCTCATGTGCCGGCGCCGCCCAGCTCGGCAGACGCTTCCCGCCGCTTGGCAGCTCGACGGCGGCAACATTGTTTTGGCAGCCGCATGGGGCCTTGCATTCAGAGAAGCTCCGCCGCCGCTCATGCGCGCTCCCCGGCTGATTCGCAGACGGCGGCGTTGGGGCGCGCCCGGCGGCGCCGCAAGGGCCCCCTCTGAGTGGCGGGGGCGGCGCGGGAGGCAGCAGGAACTTGGGGCGTGCACGGTTGGCGGCGCTGGCCTGGAGGGCGGCCTGGCGGCCGCGGCTGCGGTCCCCCCCTCCGCCCGCTGTTGTATCTATCCGGGCGCTGTATCTGTGTTGGAGGTGCCACCTCTGGGCCTGTGGCCGCGCCCCTCAGCCGCGGCTGCCCGCACAGCCCCTTATGCACGTGCGGCGCGCATTCGGCCGCACCTCCCGGGCGTTGCGGACCCCCGCCCCGCCGCCTGGTGTGCAGCTGAGGCGCCCGGCAACGTGCATTGGTTTGGGGCGCGCCGTCAGTCCGAGGGCGGCGTGCGCGCCGCCCGATCATGCGTCCTTCCTGCTCCATCTGTCGCTCCCGAGATTCGAACCGCGCCAGCTTCCCGCGCGGGAGCGGCCAGCCCTTGCCAGTGCCCGGCCGCAGCCGCCGCCGCGGCAGTCGCGCCCTTGGCTCGCGTGCGCCCTCTCTTTCTCCCCGGTCCCGCCGCTCTGTATGCGCGGGGCGCGGACAGCGCGCCGGCGCGCGCGCACGTGCTTGCGTTGCAAAAAATTCCGAAACAGCTGAAGCAGCACTTTGCAAACCCCCACAATCCAAACCAGGCGGTCGCGTCGAAGGCGACTCCTACGCCCTCTCTTCCGCCCCGCCGCCCGTCCGTGCGCCGACGGCCGCCCCCAGCCCGCGCGCGCGGCCCCCCTGGGCCGGCGCGCGCTGCGGCCGCGCCGCACGCCCCCCCCC